AGGGGGGGTGACCGTGGTGGGTGACACGGGACATCTGCCACCAGCATGTGCTGCAGAGGAGCAGAAATGCTGAGGTCCCGCAGGGCCTGGGGCGCTCCCTGCCCTCTTCCTGCGTGGTTTCTTTGCTGGAGGGACAAGCTGCCAGCGGGATCCCTGCTCCCGAGCCCTCCTGAGCCCTCGCTGTCCCGTGCCATTCGTTGTTCCTGTTTGGCTGCTCCATCCCAGAGCTGCTTTCCCATCTGTGGTGCGGGAAGTCACACTATTTCTTCCGCAGTTTCATGCTGTTCACAAGATCAATTCCCCCCCCAACAGAGCCGCCACAGCGAATGAGTCCTTCACAGTAACACAACTCTTAAGATAAATCCGATTTCGAGTGCAAACCCACTGACAACGGCCCCTGCAACCCGCCTCCTCCTGCCAGGGGCTCTGCCCGCCCCAGCCCAGCTTGCCCACAGCCGCGGGGGAACGCGCCGCTCCGTTGCCCAAATGCACATGGAGATGTGTTCCAAAGCAGCACGTGTGGGCTGAAGGTAAACCCTGCCAGCCTTGCCGGAAGGAATATAACCAACGGAGCTCTGCAGAAGCCTTTGCAAAGCGTTTTTCTGTGCTGGGTCAAACCCCCTGAAATTACCAAAATACCCAGAGCGGGGCAGAGGCAGCGGTGTGCCCCGGGCTGCCCCGCGGGGCGTTCACTGGGGCTCCCTCCCTCGCCGGGGGGTTTCCTCCAGCCCCTGGCATGTGTGATGGGAAACATGTTTTGGATCTTGGTGGAGAAGGAGAAGAAGAAAAATCTAGCTGATATGGAGGTTTTTCCCTCTGGCTCTCTACTACATCAAGGCTTTTGACTTCACAAATTCCCTGGGTAACTCCTGCTTCTCTTTTTTTTTTTTTTTTTTTTTTTATTTCGTGAAGTATCCTTTCTCACCTTCAGGCCATTCATGATTTTATGCATCTCAGATATTTCCAAGATGAAATATTTTTCTCCTGAAATAGAAGTTATTCTATTCTCTTGATCATCCTGCTGTATACTTTTTCTGATTTTTACTATATTCTTTTTGAGGTACCAGAAATATGTGAAGTGTTCAGGATATGAGTTTGCCAGAACTCCTACAATGGCACAACTGAGTTTTACTCTCTTGTTCTGAGTTCCTTTCTTAATAATTCCTAATAATACTGTAAATTAACCTTTTTTTATATGGCTTCTGAGCATTGGAGTTGGAGCTCTCAAAGAGCTGTCTGTGACAATTCCGAAACCTCTCCAGAGCCACAAAAGCTAATGTAGGGCACAAGGCTGTGTGTGTATAATTAGGGATTATTTCTGCCCATATCTGTGTATTGATGTTTCAGCTACTGTTGTAGTGCCCTGTTGCTGGGTGTTGTGGATTTCAAAGGTTGGATTTACTGATTTACGTTTTCCAGAATCACGGCAGAAGTCCCTTTTAGAGACTAATATTGCCTTGGCGCAGGAGTGCTGGAGTTCGTATTTCATTTTCTTTGTTTGCCACGAGGATACTTTCACGTCTAACAGCCTCCCTTTCTCTGTTGTTCCAACGTTTTTGGTTAACCGATGTGTTCTGAGCCGCGGTCCCATGCCCGTTGAGGACACGGTGATCAGCTGCTCCCCCAGACGTGAGCCGTGCCACGCTCCTGTGCGGCGCCGGCCGGTGCGGGTGACCCAGCTGGCATCGCCCCAGCCCTGCATCTCTGCCTTTGCAGGGGATTAACCCCCCCTGGGCGTTTTGCCCCCTCCCCTGAAAGCCTGCAGGGTGGATCCGCAGAGGCTGGGCAGGCTCTGCTACGCTCAGCCTGGTAAATCTCACTCTCCTTCGCACGCAGCCCCTTGCCCAGTGGCGGGATAACGCTGCCTGTGCTGGCACTGCAGCGAGATTCCCTGGAAAGGCCCTTCCCAAGAGCCGGTCTCACAAGGGGGATGCTGCTGGGCGACAGCGCAGTCACTCCGTGTCTGCAAGCGCGGCGTGTCAGCTGGGACCGCCTGCCCACCCACCTTGCGCTGCGGGGAGATGCCATGCGTGTCCCCGGCATGGCCACGTTCTGCTCGCATCAGGCTCAGCATGATGCAGGAGCCCGGCCCTGGTAAGGCTGGGTTGGCAAGAGCGGCCCTCT